TCTAGTATTAGACACAGATAAGCATTCAAAATTGTTTGACTAAAAAATAAGAAATCAATAAGTAAGTGAATCTTCAGTCCACTACTGTTTAAGGCCTACATCGCGAATCCAGGATTTGGGGACAATATAGGTTTTGTTTCACTCCGAGGTTTTTTGTTTGTTTTACTTAAAGGCATTTTTAAAAAGATACTTATTTGAGACAGAAACAATCGACTTGTTGTTCCACTTATTTCTGCATTCATTGGTTAATTCTTGTATGTGCCCAGGCCTGGATGAACCCGCAACGTTGGCATATGGGGTTAATCAACTGAGCTACCTGTCCAGATCTCAACTCCTCGCTTTTTGTTGTTGTTTTTAAACTGATTTGAGAGAGAGAGGTGGGGAGAGGGAGAGAGATAGAAACATTTATGATGAGAGAGAATCATTGATCAGCTGCCTCCTACTGGGGGTGGAGGCGCAACTAGGCAGGTGCCGGGACCCTGAATCCAACCGTGACCTCATGGTTCATGGGTTGACGCTCAACCACCAAGCTGCACCAGCTGGGCTCAACTCCTAGGTTGTTAAAAGCGAAAAACCCGCTACATCCCCCAAGAAGCTAAAGCCCCTATTCTGCTTAAAGCCGTGATCTTTTATGAATTCCCCCGAGGTGGTGGGGAACGTTGGGGATTAGCCTTAAAAAGAAAAAAGGTTGGTATCTGTCTCACCAAAAGAGCTGCACAACCAGGTCTGTTAGTTTCTTGAAGAGAGAAATTCGTCCGCAGTATGAGCCAGCGTTGCAGACCGAACTTTTTTCTTTTTAATGCTCACATCACAGATCCTGCTGCTCCTCGGAACAGGGTAAAGGCCTGGAAGTTTTGAAAGAAAAAAACTTTCTTCAACTTCCATTTTCTAGTATGAGTGAGAGAAGGCAACCCTCCACTAAAGGAATCATGCTGGGCTCCTCTGCCAGCAGCATTTCTCCTCGGTGGCCGCGGATAAGAGGAAGCCGTTGGTTCGCGGCCGGCGCGTCCCCGCCCAGCGGCAGCTTCCAGCTCGCGACCTGCTCAAGATGACTACAGGAGCACTTCCGGCTTCCGACCTGCTCAAGATGGCGACATGGGCACTTCCGGCTCTTCCCGGACTAGGCCCGCCCCCACGTGCGTATACACCGCGTCTAGGGCGGGACTTAGAGAAAGCTTTTGATTGGTCAGCTGGACTGGTGACCTTTCCCCTCCGCGACAGCTTGCCGGGCGCTTAAAGCCTGAGCGCTAGATCCTGAGCGACACGGACGCGGGTTACAGGGAAGCAAGATGGCGGACGTGCTGGATCTTCACGAGGCCGGCGGCGAGGATTTCGCCATGGATGAGGATGGGGACGGTGAGGACAGTGGAGGCGGCTGCGGGAAGCGGGGAAGGTGCGAGAGAAGGACGTAATAGGACAACCGTTCCCCTTCCCCGCGGCGGGAGGCGGGAGCGGGGCAACGGGCTGCAGGGCCTGCAGACCCCGCCCCCGGTGGCGGCGTGGGGCGGGGCTAGAAGGGACTGGAGGTGGTGGGGTCCGCGCTCAGAATGTCTGCGGAAAGAGGCTGTTGTTCTACAGGTTACCTTTGGCACTTATTCTTTCACTTGTGGGGTTACAGAGAGCATCCATAAACTGAAAGAAAAGGCGAAGAAGCGGAAGGGCCGCGGCTTTGGCTCCGGTGAGTGTGAAGAAAATGGGGTCCTGGGGGACAGTGGGAAATGGGGCCTTCCGGTGATCTAGGGTGTGTTCCCTAGAAGAGGGCTCTCGAGCGCGGATGCGGGAGGATTACGACAGCGTGGAGCAGGATGGCGACGAGCCGGGCCCGCAGCGCTGTGAGTAGCGGACCAGTGGGCGGTGTGTCTGCAGGGAGCTGGGGGACGTGGAGGCAAACCCGCGGGAAGGGGCCGAGGTCTGCAGTCGGGGTCCTCTTGCAGCGGTTCTCAACCTGTGGGTCGCGACCCCATCGGCGGTCGGACGACCCTTCCACAGGGGTCTCCTAAGACCATCCTGCATATCAGATATTTACATGACGATTCATCACAGTAGCAACATTACAGTTATGAAGTAGCAACGAAAACAATTTTATGGTTGGGTCACCACATGAGGAACTGTATTTAAAGGGCCAGAAGGTTGAGAACCACTGTGAGCCTTTCTCCCTGTGCTCACCGCCCTCCCTTCCCCGCAGCTGTTGAAGGCTGGATTCTCTTTGTCACCGGGGTCCACGAGGAAGCCACGGAGGAAGACATCCATGACAAATTCGCAGAGTATGGGGAAATTAAAAACATCCACCTCAACCTGGACAGGCGCACGGGGTACCTGAAGGTACTGAGTTACACTCCTTGCCTCCCCCCATCACCCTGAGCCGGGGCAGATCTCCCCCGGTCGCGCTGGTCTGCCAGGAGCAAAGTTGAAACCAAATGACATTGGAAATGGAGTTTGTTAGACGCAGCAGAGACAGGAGCCGAGGAACCTGTGGGGTATACGGCAGGGATGTGTGATGCATGTTGTTTAAAGTTGATAGGACAGGGCTTGGTGGTACAGGGTTTTGATCGCCGTCTTTCGCTTGCCCTAGGGGTATACTCTCGTTGAGTATGAAACATACAAGGAGGCCCAGGCTGCGATGGAGGGACTCAACGGCCAGGATCTGATGGGACAGCCCATCAGCGTGGACTGGTGTTTTGTTCGGGGTCCACCCAAGGGCAAGAGGAGGTAAGGTGGAGGGGCAGACACTACCTTGGTGAAGGGAATATGAGCGAAACAGAGAAAGGACATTGCAGGTCCCTCTGACGGACCTCTCCCCCCTCCCCCCATCATCACCCCCAACAACACCCTTCCTTTCACTTTTCCTAGGGGTGGCCGGCGGCGCAGCCGGAGTCCAGACCGGAGGCGACGCTGACAGGTCCTCTGCTGGCCAGGTGTTCCCTGCAGAGATTCCATGTGACCACACAGCCTTGGAGAAATGGGGCCCGGGTGGAACTCGCTGTTTATATTTAATCCTTTACCCTCTTACTTAGTGTTTTGGAACTTGGGGGGGTGGGGGGGTTGCGTTATAAATAAATGTCCCATTTTTGTTTTCTACATTTAAAATTCTTTTCTTGCTCTAACCTTGCAAGCTCTGCAGTGCTCTTTACATAGGCAGCGTGGGGCCTGTGAAGGCACTGCTCCCAGTACCTGCATTCAGTGAGTTTCTACATGAGGCATACTCAGTCCCAAAGAGTCAAAGTAGAAACACTGCTCAAGGTATTTCATTGTCTTGGGAGCTAAGAGCAGGGGTAGAAGTGAGATGTTTTCAGGATATTAACGAATAATTATTCTGTTCCTATATACTCTGTCCTGAGCAATTGGGTGCTACAGGAATGTTTTCTTTTTGTTTCTCCTGCCTGTACTGCCACATTCGTTTGTACCTCCAGCTGCTGAAGGGCTTAAATGGGCTATTCTCCCAGACTCGCTTTCCCTAGAGGAGTCTATACACAGTTCTTGGTGCCCACTTTGGCAGCCAAGGGTGAAGGCCCCTTGGAGATGACCCAGAGGAGCACTGATGAGGCCAAAGAGAAGAGGAAGAGGCTGGGAGGAACTCCGGTTAGCATCGTGGGAGAGAACCAGCGAGTAGGGAGGTATCCGGTAGAGGACAGAGGTCAGCAAAGTCAGCAGGGCTGGTCGCAGGTGCACAGGCACGGGGTGATTGTCTAAGGAGCGGCCGAGGGCAAATTCACTGGTAGGTTTGGGATTTAGAAAATACACTGCCATCCAGAACCACTCAGCTCTGACCTGAGTAATGGGTGAATTGATGGGTGGGCAGTGAGGTGGTGCTCTCCCCTACAAGGAAGAGAATGCTCCAGACCCTCTTCTTTGAAACTTGGGACTGTGTGCTCCTTTCCCCCGTGGATTATGACAGACATGTTGGAGAAAAGTTTTGGTGTTTTTTAATTTTATTATTTCCTATTTTTATTGATTTCAGAGAGAAAGGGAGTGGGAGAGCGAGGAAAACATTGATCGGCTGCCTCCTACACACCTCCTACTGGGGATAGAGGCTGCAACCCAGGCTTGTGCCCTGACCGGGAATTAAATTGTGACCTGGTTCATAGGTCGACACGCAACCACTGAGCCACACCGGTGGGCAAAGTTTGCTTGAGGTGTTGTGCTGTGTGAAGCTACTAAGTCTACTTTAAGACATCATGGTGTCCCAAGTGTAAAGGAGAATACTGATCACGTTTCTCCTTAATCCTTGTCCATCTAACTCAAGTTCAGATGATGGCTAGAGGTTGGTTAGAATTGGAGGCATTCAAGAAAATTATATGCAGCATTAGGTACTAAAAATACAGTTAGAATCTCACTTTTGGCTTGATAAGTAGCTATCAGATAAATGAGACCAGAGGCAGTTGTTTGAGGATATGCATGAGAGCCTGGGGATTGAGGTCTCACCTTCTTGTCGGGGAACTAGACACACTGAAGACAGTGTGGCGATAGCAGATGGTCATGGCAGTCAGTGGCACAGAATGGGCAGCAGAAGAAGAGGTTATAGGTACTCCCTTGCCATTGAGCCTTGAAGCCGCCTTTGGTAACACAGAGTGAAGGGCCTGGGCCAGCTTGGCGGATGGTATGGAATAGCAACAGCTGGAGTGGGGTTGAGGACCATTAGAACTGGTCCCCTTCCACCTCCCCCAACCTGCCCACCATTGTCACACTTGAATCTGTGCAGAACACTACAGTGCTGAGTTATGGTTCATCCATGGTGCCAATATTTAAAAGGTTAGAAATGTATCTTGAAAATCCCTGTGTCCCCTTAGGATGGCGAACCTGACATGCGTGTCAGAGGTGACACGCGAACTCTTTTTTGGTTGATTTTTCTTATTTTTTAATTTTTTATTTTTATTTATATTAGTTAAGGTATTACAAATGTGTCCTCATCCCCCCACCCCATTAGATTTTTCTTTGTTAAATGGCATTTAAATATATAAGATAATTATCAACAAATTTCTATATGTGACCCGGCACCAGAGTTAAGTTAGGGTTTTTCAAAATGCTGACCCACTGAGCTCAAAAGGTTCGCCATCACTGCCTTAGGCTATGGAGCTAACCATTAAGTTTGTTAAATCCTGGGACTTAAAGAATCCTGTCTCTCTCTCTTTTTTTTAATTACTATGCTAAATATTGCACTTTATAAAAGGATCTCTCTACCACTTCACCAACATTTTTAGCTGAAATGATTTTCCTGATGTGTCTGATTAATTCTGTGGGAAAAAAGCTTGTGTAAAATGGGTGTTGCTAAAATTTCAGGCCATTGTGCAACCACTCTGAAGTGACCTTTAGTAATAGACTTTTGTACAGTAACTATAATAGTGAAACAATGTTAAATAATAAAATTTAACATTTTCCAAATGCTCTTGGCTGCCCTTCCCCCTTTTTGGTAAATTGCTGAGTTTTTGGTTTGAATAGTAAAGAGTATTTTTCAGGTTTGAGCTTCAAGTAAGTTAGTACCTTGGTTCAGGTAAGGTAGATTTGACTCACACTTCATTTGGTAAAAGGCAAGCTTTGTAGGTATCAGATTCCTAAATATGAGGCATTTGGAAAAGTGATTTCAGCAGGTGGAGGGGCTTTTAGGAAAGGTAGATGGTATCAGCCATAGACATACAATGGCATGAACTGCTTGGACATTGACTAATGCTGAGCTAGTTGGACATTGGTCTCTCCTCCTGTCCCATCTTGAGTCCATATAATTCTGGGGGTTTGGAGTTCTGGGGTGTTTTTCTTTGCACTATGCCTAGAAATACTTGACACTGTGAGAAGTGGCTGAAAAAAAGGTCAGGCTCCTGGACTTCCATTTGATCCATAGCCTTACTTCTGCCCCCTCTCCCTACTTTATATGCAGTTTACCTATAACCTATTGATACTTGGAAACTTTAGGTTACAGACTAATTTCTAACTACCCCCATAGTCCATCGCACTGCCACAACATTTTTTTTTTAAAGTGGTGTTTCCCCCCCCCTGGCTGGGTAGCTCAGTTGGTTAGAGCGTCATCCCAATACGCACACCAGGATTGCGGGTTCAGTCACCAGTCAGGGCACCTGCAGGAGTCAACCAATGAATGCATAAATAAGTGGAACAACAAAATTGATGTTTCCTCTCTTCTCAAATCAATAATAAAAAATTTGTTTTAAACATTTTTAACACTGGTATTTTAAATACAACATACAGAATATGTTGTGCAGAGTTACACAAGAGCAGACTATTTTGGAACCAAAAATATCTCACTTTTTGCACATGCATCATGTTACCACCAGTTTGCCATTGAAGCAAATGGAGGTTGCAACTATTAATCAGGTCAGGCTGTAAGAAATTATGAAATTCATCTTGTGGCCCATGGGTTTCAAATGATTTAGCCAAAGTCATATAGCTAGTAGTGGTAGAGCCTAGACTCAGGAAGAAAAGCAAAACAAAACAAGCAAACTGCAACAAAAACAGGCTTCTAACCCCCAAGTCCACACCTAGAATTTACTTCATATGAACAAAACCAACTGTAATTCCTTTTACACGGAGGCAACAAGTTCTTTTTAAATCTTGGGTTTAAGAAGGTCCTACTGCCCTGACCGGTTTGGCTCAGTGGATAGAGCGTCAGCCTGCGGGCTGAAAGGTCCCGAATTCGATTCCAGTTGGAGGCATGTACATCCCCAGTGGGGGATGTGCAGGAGGCAGCTGATGGATGTTTCTCTCTCATCGATGTTTCTAACTCTATCCCTCTCCCTTCCTCTCTGTAAAAAATTAATAAAATGTATTTTAAAAAAAGGTCCTACTTGCAACATACTATTGGAAGATTTTATTTTATTTTTTAAATATATTTTTTATTTCAGCTGATGGGTTTCTCTCATCGATGTTTCTAACTCTATCCCTCTCCCTTCCTCTCTGTAAAAAATTAATAAAATGTATTTTAAAAAAAGGTCCTACTTGCAACATACTATTGGAAGATTTTATTTTATTTTTTAAATATATTTTTTTGATTGCTTTTTTTTACAGAGAGGAAGGGAGAGGGATAGAGAGTTAGAAACATCGATGAGAGAGAAACATCAATCAGCTGCCTC